CCCGCACAGGACATAGGCAGCCATGGACAAGATGTACATGTGCATAGGTGTGTTCTAATGAAGCTTTGTGGTTATGTAAAATTTCGACTGCTATAGTTTTCATGTGTCACAAAGTATCCAATCTACCTTTGATTTTTTTTTTTTTTTTTTTTTTTTTTTTTTTTTTTTGATCGTTAAAAAAATATAGGGCCAGGGATACAGCTCAGCGGCACAGCTCCTGCCTAGCAAACATGAGGTCCTGAGTCTGATTCCCGGTACCAAAAACAAAAACAAAAACAAAAAAAACCCTGTTCTTGCCAGGCTCTGTGGTGTTTGCCTATAATCCCAGCACTTCAGAAGTTGAGGCAGCTGGAGGGTGGGGATTTAGCTCAGCGGCACAGCGCCTGCCTAGCAAGCGCAAGGTTGTGAGTTCAATTCCTGCTACCGTAACAAAAACAAAAACAACAACAAAAAGAAGTTGAGGCAGCTGGAGTTCCACGCCAGCCCAAACTACCTGAGACCCTGTCAAAAAAAAAAAAAAAAAATCCTGTTCTTGGCTCACAAGTCAAAATAAGGAAACAAAACAGGAAGAAGGCTGGGTTTGGTCTGCAGGCTGGCATGAAGACCCATTGATTAGAACCAGCCGGCTGCAGCTCACTAGCTGTGCACCCTTGGTCAAACTCCCTCGCTTCTTCGTGCCTCAGGGTCCATGAGAGACTGTCCCTGTGCTTAGACCCATTGGGAACGTTCAAGAGCTTCGGAAGCGGGACAGAGATATGAGGTGTGATAGAAAAATATAATGAAAGATTACGTTAAAAAAATTATTACGACTTGGGAGGCTGAGGCGGGAGGATTCTTGCGAGTTCGAGACCAGCTGGGCTACAAACTGAGCTCAAGGCCAACCTGAACTGCATAGCGAGACCCTGTCTCAAAAAGACAAAAAAAAAAAAAATTATTACGAGACACACTCCCATAAACTCCCTCAAGATGCACCCTCTGTTTTGAGCACACTCATCATTCTTGCCAGTCGCTCAAGCAGCTCCGGAAGTCCTCTTTCCTGAGGGTCTTTAGTTGTACTGTCCTAGCTGCCCTGATGTCCTGTGTCTATTCAAAACGTTGTCCTTTTATGGTCATTTTTGACTCTGGTGAAGAGCCAGAAGTGGTAGGGTGCTGGATCTGGTGAATGAGGTGAGTGAGGACACAGCGTAACGTTTTAAGGAACCCGCCTTTCGCGGCAGTCCCGCGCTTTTGGGTTCCGGCGCACACCCACCCGCGGGCAACCCGCACCCCGCCTCTGCCAGCTCCGTCACCCGGCGTGCGCGTGCGCGGCCAAGGGCCAGCCGCTGGGGGAGCGCGAGGCGGCGTCACGTGATAGCCAAGGGCGGCCCTGTCGCCCTGGCGACGGTCTCCTAGCTGCTCGCCTCAGCTGCCCGGGCCGGGCCTTCATCGCGAGATAAGCCGGATCCAGGAGGCCTGGCCATGGCCACCTCGGCAGGCACATCCTTCTCTGCAGGCCCATCCTTCCCCGGGGTCGACGGGTTGCCTGAGGCTGAGAAGAGCTCAGGAGAGCCCGAGAACACCTATATTCTGAGGCCCATTTTCCAGCAAAGGCGGGTAGTGGACGGGATGTGGCATGGGGACCTCGGGAGTGCGGAGTTCGGGGTGCACAGCTCTTTTGAGGGCCTGAGCGCCAGAAAGGAGCGCAGTGTTGGCGGGATGGGGCGGGGCCGGCGGGGCGGGGCCGGCGGGG